GTGGTATACTAGAGACTTACTTTTGGTTTTCAGCTTGACAGTAGGTAGGCTTTCATCCAGTGGTTTCCCTTAGTGGGTAACTTATTTCCATGGATGCTAAAGTTGAACTAGAACATATGATGGGTGCAGTCTATATTTCAAATAATTTTAGTCTAGAAATTCATTGATGGAGGTAAGAGACAAAAAGGAACCAAGGTGAAAACTATCTATAATGATCACTGCTTGTTAAGTGTTACATATTGTTAATGATGTCTCAATTTACCTTTATTACGGTACCTACTGGCAAGACTTTGCACCAGATACAGTGTTTAGACTTCTCCCTGCTGTACTTTCCACGCAGAGGCAAGAAGGCCAGATAAATAAATATACTGCAGAGAATGAGGAAGCCTTATATATGAGGGTATATTATGAAAGGCTTTGGTAGTCCAATTGTCTTTCAGTCAAAGGTTGAGGACTTCAGTACTTGAGGGATTTTCTTTCTTAGCATGTACCTGTCAGGTTCGGCCCAAGAACCACAGCGAGACAATCCAGGAACAGCTCAGTTACTTTATTAGCTTACACCTATTAGACAGAACCTCACCAGACTAACTCTAACCCCCAATGACAGCAACTATAACCCTGAATCCCTTAGGGAGGGGCCAGTCTCCTCCTCTTCACTTTTACACACTCCAGCTGGGGGCTGAGGAGATGCTTGGAATGTCTCTCCCCCTCCCTGTAACCTTGAAGGTCCATTCCAGGATCCTCCTCGCTCATGCCTTCCATCACAGTACCTGTCTAAACATTAAGATCTATGGGAGAGTTCCTCAGTGCCCCTACATAAAGGGAGGTGCATTATATAAGGAACATCCCAAGCTTACATCAACATTGAGCATTTTGTGGCACCAAGTAAGGGTCTGACTTTTTACACTTGCATTTGGGACATTAAGTCAGCTACAGCCTGGTCATGCCCTGTTGTCCTTGATTTTTTTTAAAACTGCACTACAGGTAGTCCTTGCTTAATGACCACAATAGGGACTGGAAAATTGGTCATTAAGCGAGGCGGTCATTAAGCGAGTCACCATGTGACCTGACCTGATAAGTGATTAGTTTAACGACTGTCATTAAAAAGTCGCAAATTGTGATCACGTGACTGTGGGGGGTGCAACAGTTTGTGACAGTCATAAGCGTGAGTACAGGTTGTAAAGCACTTTTTCCAAGGCTGTCATAACTTTGGACTGTCATTAAATGAACAGTCGTTAAGCGAGGACTACCTGTACTGTATTCTCTGTAGTTGTAGAGAGTGTTATTGTTTTAAAAAATGAAAGTATTTTTTGTTTTATTACATTGTATTGTTTTATTTTTAGTATTTTACGGATTGTAATCTATCTAAACGTGCTTAGGATGGTAAGTGGGCTATAGATATTTTAAATAAATGAAAATGTCTGTATTCTGCATGCAGTTGTGTGCTTCCAGTAAATCACTTGCATTAAGAAGTGGCCTGATGCATTTTTTGTCATAGGAAACTTTGGAATACGTGTAATTAACAACCCATGTAGCATATAACAGGTTAGAGATTGGACAGAGGCCTTCAAATAAGATGCAGAAAGGAGAATGGCAGAATGATCTCTGTGATATTTTGGGTATGAAATGACCAAATAAAGAATATAAAGACTGAATGGAAGGTCCATGAATGACAAGAAAGTCCACAGTTCTAAATCCTGGACAATTTATTTTATTTTCATTCCAGCTTGCCATTAATGTGTTCAAGGTGGCTGACTGACTAGAACCACAAATACACAATATGCATAATTTGGCTTTAGTAACCCTAGCAGCAGTTTTCAACTTTGGATGAGCTTTCTGATGTTCCTACCCTGCTAGTATTTGTCTCCATCCCGTCCCACCACTAAAGCTTGGAGCGAGTGTGTTCATCCTTTGATTCTGTTTGTTGGGTAATGAACCAAGGAACTGAACGTCCATTGGAAAGAGAACATTCACAGGATTTATGTACATCAGGCAAAGTTCAGCTTATATTACATTTTGTGGGAGAGGACCATTGCTCAGTGAAGAGAGAACATTGTTTGAACGTGTAAAGTCTCAGGTTCAACCCTTGGCATCTGCAGCTGAAAGGAATTTCCCAGTACAACAAGAGGAGAGCTGCTGCCAGTCAGATGAGGTGCACTCATATTCTAGCCTGCCGTAAAGCTCTTTCTCTGTCTGTATTGAGTTTAATCATACCAGTTATGGGAATCTGTCTGAATCTGAAGCTTGATCACACTGAATTTATTTGGATAGAGCATAAAGGATTTCAGCTATTGCAGCTTGTAATAGGTTTCTTTATACTTACGTGTGTCATAATTTTATGACTTGCAGCTTGATGGCCAGAGGTGAGAAAAATATGTTTAATGCTTCATTAATGTGTCTTTCTAGTGTTTTTAAAAACATGTTCTTTGATTGTATCCTGGAAAATATTTTTTGATAATATATTATTTTAGCAATATTTTTACATTCTTTTTTTTTAAAAAAAAATAGGTAGTGAAACCATGGCTTGAAAATGACCAGATATGGGTTTCATGGAACCACAGTGTTGAAATTAACGTTACCAATGACTTTCTAATAAAGCTAAGAGAACACAGCATAAAGTTAAGGTTGTGGGATCTCAAGGACAAGGTTTGTTCAAAAGCCAGGTTTAGTAAACTAAAGAGTAATCTAACACAATCAGATCAAGGAGAACTTGAAGGTAAGTTTATTTAAGGCATCACTACTCTTGAGTCATTCTCTAGTCAAATAAAACAATTAACATTTTTGATTTTAACCTGAGTACAGTCTTCAGTTATATATCCCTGACTGTGGGAGAAACTAATAAGTGTATTATGCCTTTTAATGGAATTTGTTAGTTGGAAAAGGCACTACCAGGGTCCCGATTTTTTGCCGCCATAGAGTAACACAGTTATCCTCCTACAGTAATAAGTGTATTGTTACTTTATTAAAGCTAACCAGATCTCCATCCAAACCAACTGAGGTCAAATCATCCCCATCAGTTATTATCCAGCTTTCTTTAAAGACTTTCTAAGAAAAAAGAGACTACAGACATAGGGGAATTATTAAAGTATACAACAGAGTTTTTAATATTAATATGTATTTCCTGCTTGGTAGAGTCTCTGGACAGATATCACTATAAAATTGTCAGCATAATTCCTGCTTACTTGCCCATCTTATTTTCTCTGCTTTGCTTTTTGTTCTACAATGCTGCTTTTTCTTTCTATCTGGCGTATTAAAATTAGAGGCATCTGTCAATTAGTTTTGTATCACTGTTTTCAAAATAAAACATGATTCACCTGTGAAACAGGTGATTTTGGAAATCTCTCCAAAGAGTGAACTGTGAAATGAAAAACCTAAATTGAAATAATCTGATAAAATGATTAAAAATGCTGGGCCCTAGGAATCATAAAAGATAAATAAATAAAACTGATTTGTTTAATTATTTCAGCCTTTTGCTGGGGAGCATAAAGTTGATCATTTCTTTCTGGCAGAATTTCCTATGGAAATGTTATATGGAGTCCAGACTATTGTCTGTAGAACTTGGGAAAGTATAGGAATAACATGACATTCACTCTCAAAGTTTTCACTCATCTCATCTCATCTCATCTCATCTCATCTCATCTCATCTCATCTCATCTCATCTCATCTCATCTCATCTCATCTCATCTCATCTCATCTCATCTCATCTCATCTCATCTCATCTCATCTCATCTCATCTCATCTCATCTCATCTCATCTCATCTCATCTCATCTCATCTCATCTCATCTCATCTCATCTCAGTCCCTTTGGAATTTGTCATTAGGTCCTTTATTTCTCATACCTTGCAGTTCCTGAGTCTTGTATGCAAACATCTGTCAGGAATTTTATGAGTGTTTGCTGCCTTTTCAGCATTTATTTGCAGCAATACTTTTAAAAGCCTCTGCTCCAATCTCTGCTTTTAGAATTTGTAGGGAAAGAAATCTGACAGCCCTTAGTGTGGAAGGAATTATTTGTACAGGCAGTCCCCAGATTATGAACGAGATCTGTTCTTAAGTCAGTCTTTAAGTCGAATTTGTAGGTAAGTCGGAACAAGTACTTCCTTAACAGATAAAGGGTAATAAAAGAAAAATGTATGTGATCCATCTTAAAATGGCAGACAGTGTTCTCCTTTGAGCTGATGAACCGCTGAAGCCGTGCAATGTTTTCATGAGCATCACAAAGTAGCATGTGCATTCGTTATTACAAACCATTGTATTTAACTCAAAATTTTAATATAATAGGCTTTATGGCAGTCCGTAAGTAGGAACTGTCTACAAGTCAGATGTTCTTCACCTGGGGACTGCCTGTATTATGAACTAAAAGAGCTGAGCTCTCCAAAAATCACCCCAAAATGAGTATCATATGGGAGATAATAGTGTAAGCACACAATAAACAAATTTGTTAGCTTTGAATGTAACTTTGTACTGCTTTTTTCCTATTCAAGGTAACGTCAGGTATATGGTTTTATATCAGAGAGAATTCTTAGAACGTAATCAAGTCAAACCCAGTATCACAAAGGTTAAACCAGTAGTACCCTCTGTGCAAAAGCAGCCAGCAGCCAGTGCTTTGTCAGGTATGATACTGTGAGCCTAGAGCTCCATTCTGTTACACAAACACTTTGCCATATATGAAAACAGGGAGTTCTGGCCATGCTCTTATTGCATCCTCTGTTGTTCCTGTGGTAACAGTTAATATAAAATGCAACAATTAATTGTTTGCCTGTTTTTCATTTCTCTCCTATATAAAAAATAATTTGCTTCAATACTAGTATCATGTTACAATGAGACCTCATTAATTTCTAGTAGTTAGTTGTCAGTTTTGGTAAGATTCTTTAATGCAAAAGTTGTTATATAGATACATGTTTGATGTGTACTAATTAGATGCTGTTGGGTTTTGTCTCCTGTTGTCCAAGCGTAGTTCTGGCAGAGCTATCTAATGAAGTTTATAAACTTACGTGATAAGATGACATTATAGGCTGCTTTTTAATTTGTTCTCATATAGACTTGTATAAGCCATTCTGATTTAAAAAAGGATGTACATAAATTAATTCAAGTACTTTTCTGCCTGACACTAATTTTCAAATTCAGGATATTTATATGTTGTGAAAGAGCAATTTCCTTTTTCTTGCTCCCTTACAGTAAGCTCATCAGGAGAATAGTTGATAAAAATGTGTTTTATTTAAACAGATTTCAGCTTTTTTAACTGGACAAATGTATCTGTTCAGTTGCTGTTTGAAGGATACAGCTTTTGTTCAAGTCCTGACCCAATTTCCACTGGGTCATTGCCTTTCTGTTGAGTGTAGTATCCTCTACTTCCTGCTTAAAATTGTGCTATCATATTGGTGTGATACATGACAAGTGGCTGAATACTTCTTAAATTGATAATCATCTTAGATCTTACATTAAGTTAGAATTTTCCAACCATCCATTATATTCCACCCCTCCTATTTAAGCTGTTCATGGAGCAACAGACTTGCAATAGTGGGTGAAATCCTGTGTCATATGAGTGGATTTTCTGCTCTCCTTTCCCCTGAAAATTTGCTGTGGAAGTTTGAAGTTCTCTGGAGCAGATTTTGAGAGTGTGCACGAGCTGCAAGAAGGAGAGGGCACCCTTCCTTTCAAGATAGGTCAGCAAAACTAGGCTCTGTCCATGAACCCTGAACTCCATGGACTCTATCCATGAAACCCTATCACTGGATTTCAGCCAAAATGCCAAAACGATTCTCAAGAAAACATATTTAACTAAAAGGCACAGATTGTAAAATCTAAGGTAAGCTAAGGTAGATTTCAATAAATATTTGGTGGGCATCAAAAAGACACCAAGGTAGGTAGTAATTGAACCTCTGTGAGGAGACTTTCATACAGCTGGGGTACTGCTGTTGAAAAAGCTGCTTCTTCGGTAGCTACTTGCCACTAGGAGCCTATAGAGAGAGAGGCTTCTGCTCCCAATCCATAAAGAAACCTAACATTAAGAACAGCCCTTTGAATTGGATCTGGAACTCTGTTTTGGGTTCCAGTGCAGACAGTCCCTAGCAAGATCCAGTGAAGATAGAAGATCCCTAGCAACAGTTGCTCATGTTGCTCAGCTCCGATTAGCTGCCTCACAGGCACCTTCTGAATGCCATGAGCCCTCTTCAAAAGTACTGCCTGCAGTGGTTCAGAAAGGAGGTGAATCAACTGTTTTCACCTCTTACTGGGTGTTTCCCAATATTTGGAGCCCATTTTACACATCTTTGAAGTGCTCTGTCTTTAGTTTATTTTTGTTTGCTCATCTGTGATCGTATATCTCCAGTAGAGAAATTCTTTTAACCAGATGAGGCTAATCATTTATCACACTTATTTATTCAAGGGAACTTAAGTCTAGGAAGACAGTTTGATTATGGTACAGGGCTGCGCAGCATTTTGGATTTGAAGCAAAAGTATGCTTCAGAGCATACAGGAAGTGCCGTGCCATACAACTCTACAATCTAAAGTTAAATATATGAATCTTGTGCGTTTGAGTACATGATTGAAAACAGTAGTTTGGCTTCGGTTCCCCAAGAAAGCTTTATTCGAATAGCTCTGACCAGCAGGATTGATGTGGAGGAGCCTATTTCTGTTAATTCACTCTTCTTTCTGCAGCCCCATAATTTTCTAAAGACTCCTCTGTCCCTTTTCTCGCATAACACTTCTCTTTATGCACTGTCACAGGTGCCAAAAAATATAACTGAAAAAAAAAAAGCTGGAGTCTATGAGGCCTCAAATCAATACAAAAAATCCTTAAGATCTGGTTATCTTGTGACATTTTGGCTGTTTCATTTTTTAAAAAAATGGAGGTTGCTGCTTACCATCTATTAGCATCATAGGTTTAATTATATCTGCAGGTGCTGTGCTACTGACTCTGATTTATCCCAATGGTTTTAAAGCAAGGAATATACATTTAATTTTGTGCTAAAGTTGTGCCATTTTATACTGCAGCCCTCTTAGAAGGCTCATTATCTTTGTGAGAGGAAATGGTCCTTTTGGGTGGGTGGTGGTGGTGGAGGGTTACTAGTCATTTCCATATTTTTAGAATGCCTGTAGTATCCATCTAAAATTTTTATACATTCTTTAAAAAAAACACTGCTCATTCATGGGTATTCAAATCTTACCCCAACTTACCTGGGAGCATATCCCACTCAGCTTACTGAGATTTATTCATGAGTAGGCATGATTTGTATTATGCTGCGTTCATTTGCTTAGTTTACTAATCAGTAACCAGCCTCTTACAATATATTACAGGTCTTCCCACTTCAGCTGTGAGCAAGCGCATGGAAAATGAATCCAAGGCTAGTGATCGAAAATACTCTCGGAAATTTAGTTCTCCACAGTCCCCTGTAAAACCTGATGAATTGCTCCGTTCACTGAGGTAAGTCTGCAGGATGTGCAGATATTAGAATAATTTCTGATTTTTGGGATACCCATTTACATATTTAAATAAAATTGAAAATGGCTCTTTTCTTCCAGTTCTGATGCTATGGTCCTGCTTCGTTTTCAGTTACGTGAAAAAGGTGTCTGAGCATGACGCCTTTTGAACGTCTCTTCCACAAACAAATCGCAACTTGAGTGCTGGTTGATGTGTAACTCTACCTTTCTACAGTATCTGTTCTCTGCTGTCCCTCGGTTTAGAGAGGGTTAAAGCTGAAACCTGTCTTTGACATCATACGGCAGATGGATTTGGGAGCTCTAGCCAACTTTCAGTTTGGAAACCTTTTATACCTGCAAACTACTCATTCAGCCTTATTTGCCCCCCACACTATAGAGACTTTCTTTGGCTTGTTTCAGTGCCTTACCCTCAGCAGTGCTAGATGGAGGTTCAGACCCCATGCACTGAGGGATGCTGTCTCTGCAGTTAGAAGGATGGTGGCAACTTTAAGATGGGTGGACTTCAACTCCCAGAATTCCCCAGCTAGCATTGAGAAACACTGCTCTGTTGCGTGCATTACTTCCTTCTGTCCTGGGTTAAATTTGCTTTTTTTCCCTTAGTACTTATCAAACCACTGTTTGTACTTAAACGTCTTTTAAGTTCTGGGCCTAATTGTGTTGTTTTTACTCCTGTATCTATTAACACTCTATCTAGTGTTAGAAAGGGCCCATTGTTGGTCTTTTCTCAAGTCAAGCAATAGTTTATTGTGCATATTGAATTTTAAAAGGAGAAATGTTATTTTTTCCTTGTTACCTGGGATGGGTAAGGAGGAGGAGGTAATGGGGGTGGGGGGTTATCCCAGAAGCTTCCACATAGTCAGAAAAAAAGATCCTGCCTATTCTTATTTTTTCAAGGGAATGGAATTTAATAAATATCATTAAAAGGTCTAGATGACTACCTATATGAAGAAAAGATAACCTTTTGATTTTATATGTGGCCTGTTTCTGACTGCCTTTCTTTGTGAGAAGACTAGGTGTGTATACCCCTACATGTATACAGTGGTAATAAAACAAGATAAAGTCCCAATGGCCTATAACTTATTTATGCTCTTTTGGCACTTCTTAGTTTGCAAAGTAGGAGAGGCTTGCTGTAGCTGGGGAAGGGCTAGCTGCATTAATTCTGCCTTGCATCTGACTCAGGTTCTTACTCTGCTTTTTTTCCTCAGCACCACCCCCAGCCCCAGCCCTTTTAGTGGGTCATTTTCTATGTTCCAGACTCTAAGCCAGTGTTGTCCAAACTTGGCCACTTTAAGATGAGTGGACTTCAACTCCC